TTTTAAGTGTTAAACTTAAGCATTCTGTTGCCCTACATCCAGAGCTATGGAGCTATTCTGTTGACACCAGTTGTGATGATATGAAGCAAATGCAGCTTATCAACGTGAAAAACTCCAGATCCTTCAGCTGATCGAGGTACAGAGCAACATAATCTCCAATTCGTATAACTGAGTACGCCAAAATGAGGCACAGCAAAAGCAGCGAAGACAGCACGAGAAAACAGTTATTATGAGGATTAAGACAAGGTTCCGTGGGTCGACGATAGGAAACCGGCAACAGTCCAATAAACTGGAAAATTCGCCACAGATACTTGGGAATAACCACGGGACTTGACGGTTTCGTTTGAGGAATGCCGAGATTGTTTTGGTCTGTCTGGATGGGAGCTAGCATGGCGCTCATTATGCTATGTCACGGAATCAACGGAAACTGCCATATGGACACTGAAATAACACGCTTTGCATTTGTGTAGAACCTTAGGAAACGCAATTTGTACGGTGCAATGATATATGTAATATTGCACTAAGTGATCGACTATAGCAGCGGAAACACAGAGTTGTGTGATTACAATTGGACGGATGAGGGCTCACAAGTGTTTGTTTAGGACAGGTTAGCCCTGCGTGTAATATTTCTGTTTGCTTACTTGTCTCTGGAAAAGCGAAAGGGATGATGAGCATGCAAACCGACACAACAAATACTCTCCTGTTTGTGCAAGCATATGTAGAGTCCTTCCGTTCGAGGTAAATGGGACAATTCTTTTCCTTGTAGTTGGTGAAATAATCACAAAGGTAAACAAACTCCGTTAATGGATTTTGTCATCCTTACTCAAACAGCATTTTTTGCGGCGAATTTATTTGAGACCCCGTAGTGAGACACGTTGAACACTTTTAGTGTCTGGAGAATTTCGATAATTACAAAGTTCACTATAATTGCAATTGCGCTGCAGGTATGGAAGGTCACGTATGCAAGTAAACGGGAATTACAGCACTAAGCAGATGAAACAGCTAAACAGATGAACCAGAAACAACTTTGGCAATTCGATGTAATTCAGTTAACTACTACAATTAGGGCGTATATGCCAGCAAAATATAACTACACGTAGGTAAACATTTGCAATCGCGAGATGTTGAGCAACTGGCTCAGTTCCCTGCTCACTCGGTAACCAATGGCTGTTTCCAGTTTATCCATCTCATTCCTTGCATCTCGAGTTTGATAGATAAGGATGAAATATGTGATAAAGAGTCCAAACAGCTAAAGAAAAGTTACACAGGTTCTTAACATGAGTTCGCTCTGTTTAGTTATGAACTTTAAATAAGATGTTTTAATTCGGCATATTTATTTATGTATTTTGATCGGCTTGGTGCATATTATGTATATTTCTGGTTTCATTTGGTTTACAATATAATCGTATCTTGGAACAAAAGGCTCTTACAATGGCCAGAAATTCCTTAGTGATGCACACGAAGCCACCGGCCGAGATTGCGGTGCATCGATTGTTCGACGTTGCCATTTGAATTTTCACACACTCTTCGTGAACTCGGGAATCATCTGTTCGTAGATTGCACTTTAGCGCCAGAAAGCCCAAAGCCTCGCCCTGAAATGATATATGCTACATAGAGTAAATTCGATGCTAATTTTGTAGAGATACCCGGGACCTTTGCATTTGAAAGGGGCCCACACCAGCGCACCGTACCTGTTCGTGGCAGTAACTGCAAACGGCAACCCGCAGCATTAGATTAACAACCGACATGATAACCTCATCGACATTCTGCGCAATTATAACATGTCGCAGATGTGCGCGAAATTTCGCCGCATAAACGACCGTGTCTTCCGTAACGTCATTATCATCCAACAACAATGCCACGTAATTCACCATGTTCATCATATCCTGCATGCATGCTGACAAGTTTATCCACGAGAACACGGCATTAGTACCGCTAACGATGTCCAGCAAACTGGCGACATTCTGTCGGATTAACGCCATCTGGTCCACCATTGGTGTGGGGACACAGTTTTCGAGCATATCCCCTTGCTGCGCATAGGCTTTTCCAATGGCCAGAACAATGAGAAAGGTCAACATCTGGCTGCCGTTAATGATTCCCAGCGTCACAGAACGATGCAGCGCATCCAGTGTGATCCAGTATGAGGATCGTCCAGGCAGTGTGCCGTAAAATAACGGTTCGTTGGTATCCCAAGATTTGTTGTTGCGTACGGATTCATCAAACTGGATTCGGTGAGCAATTGTTTGCTGGATATGGAGAAAGGGCGCGGCGATAGTTAGTATAATCCAAACAAGCGCCGTTGGAGCACTGACCAGTGTCCATAAAGGTCGTCTGTTGCTGGAGATTGGACGTTTCCAGAAATGACCGTTGTGAAGTTTACTTAGCAGGACAGGAATGTGCTTTGATTTTGTGTATAAGATGATTAGCACCGTGCTGACCTAACAATTAAAAATTACTAGAGTACTGAATTACCGTACTATCGTGAAGCGAAAGCGGCAACGCAAAAGCTGATCAGTGATATTACGTATGAAAGAACATAGTAAAATTAATTTTTTTAATTATTACCCACGTACCAGTAATTTTCTGCTTTTTCTGAAAATAACTTGGCTTTTGCGATTAGTACGTACTTGGAGTTGAGAAGAAGTAAAGCAAAAGAAGCTAATCAATGAGAAGAACTCTAGACCTCGAAGTTGTTCTTCGTACAGTTCCACGTAGCTGCCAACACGAATAACTCCGTATGTGATCACCAGTCCCATTACAACTACGGAGTACGCCAAGAGGGGACAATTCAACGCAGGTTCCGCTTGTTTTGTAGGATCGAAATAGTCAACCGGTAAAACACCGATGATCTGAAGGCATCTCCAAAGACATTTTGGAATCACATTTGGGCACACTACAGTAACGCTAAGTTGATTCGGTTTCACTTCAGACGGCTCGGGCTTTGCCATTGTGAAGATCTTGCGAAATAGTCAAAGAATTATGAATACAAATTACCTATGTATATTTGAGGAAAGTACAGATACATCGAGGAAACAACTGGACTAGGCTTTCGGAAAATGTATTGGTGGTGAAATGCATAAGGAATACGCTTTTATTTATCCATGATCGGAAGAAAATTCCAATGCTGCATTTGTCTGTGACAACAAAATTATCATAATGTAATAGCGTCTGCGCATTCCCCTTTCGCCGATGCCAAGTATAATATTATGCAAATTGGGAATACATTAGGTTGGAAGTGCTGAGCGATGATCAATTCGGCAGCCTTTCAAGCATACGTAAGTATTTTCTGATCTTAGGTCTAAATATTTCTGTTTCTTGTAAACAAAGAAAATGCACAACCCAGTTAACCACATTAGCACACAATCTGCTTTTTACCCTTACATAATAATACAATGTACAATAACAGTACATAATAACTAGTGGAACTACTTATGCAATCGAAAGTGCATAAATTATATTTGCAAACTCCTTTTATGATACAGATCTGTACTGCACTCGTTTGCAAAACAGATGCAGTTAAGCACCGAAGCAACACCCAAGCGTTATATCCTAAAGCCTAAAGGTCACAGGTGATTGACTGGGAAACTTGCGACTACTTTCTTGATCATGAAGTCTTGTATGTTTACTTAATGTTCCATCAAAATGGCCTACTGTTTGCTTGTCCAAGTAGCTCCTTGCCCTTTGCTATCATTTTTGACAAGATTGTATCGATTTTTGTGGCAAAAATATTTAAAACGGAAGTATACTACAAAACACAACACCATACAGTGCTACTACCATTCAGCGCAGATCTGCAGAAAGGTACCGAATAGTCACATTCCCTTTTTATAATAATTATGCTGTCGGAAAACCTGTTCCATGCAAACGCTTTTCCTTTACTATTGAACTTTTTTATTTTCCGCCACGGTAACCTTCTATTAAATCCGATTGCAGCTGATGAAAATGAACGCTGTGAACACCGTTCACCCTGTACAGCAAGTAATGACGGTCGATCCAGTGCTGCCAACGCCATTCGTTCCAACCGTCGTTCCAAAGTACTTCTGGCGATGCTTGCAGATCTGTGGTGTCCTACCGGTTACGTTTTCACGCGATGATCCATCCCGGAAGAATGCGCCCATACATCGGTTGTGGATGGTCTATTCTGTGTTATTGTTCTGCTTTTTTCTCTGGTTCACAATCGTGCGGATCGATAAGCACCAGCTGCTGTATGGAGAGGATTTGAAGCAGCTGGAATTCTTTACGCTGGTCAACATCACGTGTTTTTCATCGTCCCAGATAAGGGTAATTTGCAGTTATAAATCCTGCATTTGCAAATTTAAGAAAGCATCAAACCAGCTGATTTGATTGAAATTTCAGGTTTTACTGACAATTTTACTGATGTGGCGAGAAGTGAAGAAACTACCAAAATTACTATCGCACCTGCAAAATCCAGCCTTATGGATGGGCAGCGGTTCCGAAAAACACCCGCTGTGGTTAACGCTATGTCCTGTGTGCGCCGTCATTTGGTTTCTAGTCGGATTGGCCTCCTCGTTTTGGCAGTACAGCATGGAATTGGCAGATTCTCCAGTGGTCGTAAACGGAACAGTTCATTTGGATACCGCCATCTTTTTTGGCCTAATCAAAGGCCCAAACGCACTGCCGAATGCCCTGATTATGCTGCATACATCTATCAACACAGCAATCTGTAATACTTCTCAGTCGCTGGTATTTTTACTGGTTTTCGCCACCGCCAAAGCGTTTCAACGCCAAATAAAATCAGTCAAAAGCTGTAAAGGTCAACTAGATATGACAATCGAGAAATGGAGGATATGTGTTCATAACAGTGGCATATTACTGGATGTTATTAAGAGGATTAACGATCTGTTCGGGTGGATAAACTTTATTTTCTGCGTGCAGGATTTGATGGTGTTTATTCTGTATGTGTCGCTATGGTTGGAAGACGTGACACCTCAGCCCGAAGGAGCTGCAGCGACGCTTGTATATGAAATCCGCCGGAAAGATCGGATTACCTTGCTTCTGAGGAACATCGCCCCGGTTGTAGCAACATTGATTAATATGGTGCTCCGCTTTTGCGTCTGCAGTTACTGTTACGAACAAGTACGTACCGCAGCATACACTTATTACAGATAATTTGGCAGATACCTAGTTCGCAGTACTGAAGAATTTGTATGCTGAAAACACTTATTATCTGCATATGATATTTTATCTTAATTGCAGGCAAAAATTCTTGGAAACTACGCACAGCGTATGAGCTTAAAATCGGACGATCAACGAATTCAGAACGAATGTGCACGCGTGGACGCAGCATTGAATCAGGGTGGAAATGCTGCCATTTCCGCTGCCGGTTTCGCTGTCATCACTAAAGAATATTTTGGGGCGGTAAAAATACGAATATTTGATTTCTGCTTCGAGTATCATCAAGCTACATATGCTTGTATTGGTACAGAATATGCAACTGTAATTATTAAATGATATTAATTACAAGGGAAGTGTTACTTTTAGATAACCGGAATGATGCTGACATACTTCATCTTAATCTATCAAGCCCGCGACTCCAAACAACAGATCAAACATTTGCAAAATAATCTTCTTAACCTAATGAAGGGAATGCTGCCGCAGCTGGACCACCACACTTCCTTGTACAACAACGATACCGCGTCCAGTGCCGCTGATTTGAAAGAGTCGTTCCGTATCTTAAGTTTTCACTGACGGATTTCATGTATACTAGTACGCAAGAAATTGTTTTCACGGGCTGGCAAGCGCTTTGAATATGAATTATCAGTGCGGAAGCTGAGATCACAGTAACACTTTTCACTGTTGTTTTTCCACAATCCAGAATGTTTCCATAAGTCCTTTGCCCTAGAAATATAGCAACCTCGCAGTCAGCGATACAGGGTGTTGAGAAGCGTGACATCATTGTTGCGTACCTTAATTTGTATTTGGCCTCTGCTAGAGAAACCGTATTGGCCGCTATTCGCTCGCTCCAGTATCTCCATTGTCGTTGGTGTGGAATGTACTTTACCCGCTGTGAGCATTCACCGGTGTAGTGAGCGTAAAACCTTCTGAATTTTCAAAACAAACTGTCACAAACCTTTTCCGTTGGTTTGCATTCTGGCAGCTGTATTCACCGTATCCCCGAATCTGCATGTCAGCGCATTCACATGTCACAAACTCACAATTTCACGAAACTTACGCTACGACAGATGAAATGTGACCTTACAAACAGTATCTAGGCATTTTCAGTCCAACCACGCCGGCAACGCAAGGACCTACAAATGGATCACTGGCGTGACAGTTTTATACTGGGTTTATATGTGCGCGAAAATGTGCTTGGATCAACACCTGAGTTAACACCGACACGTAGTTCAAACATGGGCGAATTGCCCGCTGAGCGGACGGTTGCGTTGAAGCTGTTCAGTTTCTCCGTGTCCCTCATCATACTCATGGCCATGGACACAATTTCGTTGGCATGGCGAAGGCCATTACTAACTGGAAGACCACTTACAACCTAAAAAGGTCATCAAGCAACAATTTCCCTAATAAGCGCCTTGTTACGCTTAAACATATTTACGCTTTAAAAGATACTGAAAAGATATTACGCTTGAAGATATTTAAAGGATATGTACGATTTAAAGACGTTTCGCTTAAAAGATGTTCAAAAGATTTTAAACGCTTTGATACGCCTAAAAATATTTTAATATTTATTAAGATATTTAAAAATACAGCTTTACTATGAGGAAAGATTTTACAAAATGGAAAGCAATTGTGCTTACCAAATAAGCATCATTGATTGTCTCGACTTTGTAAACGTCGAATTTCTCCAAGATGCTGTCAAACGTATTATACATAGAATTGAGAACACCGATGACGTGTTTCGGCGAGGGTTCCCTGGAGATAATATCCGTAAACCCGGAATATCCCGAAGTATACGGTTGTGCTAGCAAACGTTTCCGGGTAAATTGTGTGCCCCGTTTGCATTGCTTCGGCAATCGATCTGCAAAAAACCCTTTCTTTTCTGCGAGCAGTGCTGGTAGTGAACCAAAACGTTATACTTTGGCAACAAATTGCTTAACAGCATCTCCGAGCGCTGCTTTTCTTCCATGAAATTGTGCATTTGATCCTCCACCTGCTGCTCTAAGGTCATGGCGTAACGCTCCATGGATTTAATTAAACTGTCAACGATGTTCCCCGAGTGGCCGACGATGCGGCCGAGAAGGCTGCGAATCCGCGGAAATGATGGGCGGGATAGTGGATTCTCGTCCCAGCAGGCCTCCATTAAATCGTATAGCCGCGGCCCGCAAGCGGAGGACGGAACGGGTGGGCGCAGTGGCGGCGCTGTACCGTGTTTAAGCTGTTAAACAGATTTGAGTTTCATACCGGTTTAGTGTTAACAGGCGGAGATTTAAGCGTTACCTCAAGAACTATTTCTCTTGCTTTTTCATTACTTCCCGGTACACCTTCCAAGCGAAAAGGTGCACTACGCAAAATAATTTGCTGAAGAAGTATGGCAAAGCTGTACACATCGCCTGGAATAAGGTCATAAAAACAAGATTAAAAAAGAAAAAAATTAAATCAAAATGGCCATAAAACCCCGTTGAAAATGTTTGCGTGACCTTTTTGCGTTCCAGCTGGCTCCATTCTTCTTCGAAGTAATTCTGGCGCACGCCATAACAGTTCATGAAAATTCCGCTCGGTTTGTGATTCGAACGGCGCATCAAAGAAATTAAGTGTTCTTGTCAAATTAGGTAAACCATAGTCGGTAATCTTGAGCATTAACTGGCTGTCGATCAGGCAAGTAAGGGCCGTGAGATTCCCGTGTGAGCGGATGACACTTGCGTGCAGCGCATTCATTCCCTAGAAAAAAACACCGCGCCATAGCGGCTGCTGACGTTGCGTAATTTAACACACAATACTCACACTGACAATGTCGGCAATCAGGGAATTCTTGCACACATTATCGATCTCGAAATGAGATGTCATTAGCAGCTGCTTTAAGGAGCCCTTAGAGCAGACTTCGCCGGCCGTAAATACGCAAAGATTCTCATCACTGACAACAATTCCGATGAACTGATGAAGATTGCTGTGGTGAATGAACTTCATCTGCGCAAACACGATGCGACTTTCTTCAGGTAACCAAAAGGAAATATTGTGCATGCATTAAGGAAATATTGTCACTAATCCTTACCGGAGTAACGTCTTTTAGCAGCGTCTTAGGCACTTTGTGCTTTGGGTTCGGCAGCTCGGCTAATCCCACCGCCATCTCTAGATGGAGCACGCCGATCGTGTAAGGATTCTCTGCCACGGTGCTAAAAATATTCGATTCCGACATTTCATGTGATTTATCCTCAGCGTCCGCATGGTCCTAAAACGGAAAAATCAATTTTTAAATCTATTTTTAATGCAACTAGAAATATGTACCTGAACATGACCGTTAAAGGTCACCGATCGTCCTCTCATAGTGTGAACTGACAAAGTCCCGTTGGTGTGATGAAGCTGTGATTCGCGTTTAAAATTAACGGCACCGGTATCCAGTACAGGAGCTTTCAGTTCATGTATGTATATTCGCCACCAGTACGGGTCAATCGGAGCCGATAACCTAATGAGCGAAATTAAGCGTAAAACGCTTTCTCCATTTGAGTCTATCGGTTTTTTCACAGATGGTTACCGTTTTACAATCACCCAGGCGATGACTACACAAGCGGCAACAAATAAAATCGGTAACACGATTATCACAGTTAACGTTGATGTAGACAAAGCGTTCATCTGCTGGCAGATAAGGGCGTTCCCGTCGAAACCGCAGAGGGGAGTATTCGGCGGTAGCTGGTTTCCGATGGGCCAACTTAGCCGGCTGATACAGACAAGTTTTTTCGAGGTTGATGGGGCCAAGTACAGTTCCTATCGAAAGAAATAACATAAAAACGGTTTTTTCCAATACGCGACAGAATGCAGGTACGATACTGTCAGATCATTTCGTACATTAAACTTCCCGATCCGGGATCGAAATTTCTAATGGTATAAGTGGACACCCGGTCACCGTTTTGGTCCATGACGACTGGACGGTTTAAAGGCACACTGAAGAAGGTAAAGTTGACAACGGAAGCTGCTACAAGCGAACCGTTCAGGAAGTCTTGATATCGCGACAAAAGCGTTACCACCACGGAAGCGTAGAGGTAGACAGCATCATAGACATGGGCGACCATTAAATCCGGCTATAAAAGCAACTTCAACGATAACCTTAATCTTCTGTTGATGTGTATGAATAATAAATCATAAGCATGTGTATACGGTATACAAGATAGGATAAATAAAATAATTATGTTAAGTGAACCACGAGGAAACGAGCGGAAATTACAACACCCACTTTGGAATCGGAAGCAAAATGATAATATCCCTTCTTTTGGGCGCGCTCTCGCACATCCGTCCAAAAATTCATTAGACTGTCGTCCGTGGGCAAGCGTATGGATAAGAGAAGGAGTGGGCGGAAGGCCAGTTTAGCCAGCTGAATAGCAAAACAGAAGCCACTCATGCGGCATGTCAACATCGCATCTTTAATAAGAGCCAATAAGATGCACAACTGACCGAATCCTTCTCGTCGTAATACTGCCATGTGAAGCGTCCCCAGAGGAATTTTCAAACAACTCCACCGCGAGAAACACCTGAATTCCGGTAAAAGCGAACACGTGTACATTTGTAGTAAACATGCTCAACAACCTTTAACGTACATAATCGCCGTTCGTCATTCCTTCTTGGAATGCGGTCACCTGATCCCCAGAGGTTGTGGTTAATTTCCAAACAGTTTAAGCTAGTATAGAGATGGTTTTACCATGATATTCCTAACCGTCGTCGCGTTGGCTAGGATAATCAGCACTGCAATCAGAAAGATTACACATCTGTTCGCAGGAATGGAATGTCGGTATATTCCTTGCGCTAACCGCGGGAGATTTTTGAGACTTCTCCCAGGAAATCCACCGTATCGGCATGACCGGCCACTGAGCTGTCGAAACCCTGGAATTTTGCGCTGTAGTACAGATCGGCGTTTTCTTCCAGAATCGCTGCACTCAGCAGTACGCCCATTTCGCGGAAAAACGGGCTGAACGTGTCGTATAAGAAGAACGGTGTTGTATAGTTGAATTTCGTGAAGAAGCGCACCAGGACGTTAGCCAGTGTCGAATGCGTTATCGATGGACGCAACACCAATGTGTACTTATCCAGTGACGCTTTCATCCCGACACTGGCCGCTGGCAAACCGAAGATGGGTGTGCCGGTAAATTCGGCAAAGTCATTGAGATTCTCCGCCGCCGCACCACACCCTGTGTAAAATTAGACGAATATTAAATTACTCTAAAGCTAATTAAATCATTCTTAAATTCGGATTGGAGGTCCAGCGTCCAACGTGTAAACAAAATTTGTGCAGTTTAATTTTACCTTTATAATGCCTGCTTACTCAATGTATGTTACTAAACATTATAAATAAACAAACACTAAGCGAGTCAGCAAATAAGAAAACTGATAATAAAGCTTTTAAAACCTGTCAATTTAAAGGATTTCTGTAGCAAAATAAAGCCTTAATATAGTTTTTCGTACCCGGTCCAAAATACACGTCACAATTGATGTTGCGATTCCACAGATCCATCGCGTACGCGACAATGCGATTGCGCGGTGCGCAATTACTGCCGATATCCAGATAGCGCGTCTGCAGGCTGAGATTAACCGGGAAGACATACTGGTTGATCCACTCCACCGCCAGTTCAAAGGCCGCTGCGGCTTTATTATAATCATACAAATCGTTCGTGTCTCCGCGTTCCATCAGAATACAGCCCAACAATTTCGTCTCGCCGATACTGGGAAGAACTTTCGGTAAGAAGTCGGCCGCTTGTGCATTCTGCACAACGGACCGCGTAACGGTCTCTTCTTCCGACGTGGAAGCATTATTCGGTGATTGTGTGCGGGATACCGGCAGGAAGAGCGGGAGGAAAAATGCCGCATTAACGAAGCGCATCATCGTGTCGAGTGCGGTCTGCCACTCCAACCGCACCAGCGCCGGCGCTTTATTAAAGCGACGGGTAAAGCGCGTGGGAGGCAGTGTACATATTGCCACTGGGCTCGTCATGTAAAGTGAAGTCCCTTGGAGAGTGGCAGCGTGACGGAAATAGTTATATCGTGGACAGAAAGACACCGGTGCCCGTTGCATCGGACCGGCACTTTGTCGCCGTGACAGCTGCCATTAACATAATGTGACATCTTGAGGATTATCAGCCCTGATTATCCCTGCATGAAAGATAATGCCGGATGGGATCGTCTTTTGATCTCGGTTGCAGGTGTTTCTAGGGTTAGACGGTTGTTATTATCGTGCACGAGGTGGTGTGTACAGATACAGGAATGTAATCCGTTCAAATCAGAATCAAGTGAAGTTTATTGCGTGGTAATTTTGTTTGTCTCTTTTACGCACACAGATGTCGTAATGCGCAGATTATGTACTGCGCATTTTATGTCAACTTTCGGATCCGGAACAGGCATTGCATGCATTTAACATACTGATCACAATGTCAGCCAGCACGCTTTTACAAGTACATATTGTACTATATGTAAAGAAATATTACGTATTATTACAATATACTAGAGAGTCTGCAGCTGGCCCGCATACGTGCAGTTAAAGGTAGCACATACCTATTAGAGTGTACTGCAGGAAAAGAGTAGCAAGTTGAAAAACTGATCACAGCACACGCGATACATTTTCAATTTCGTCGTTGCATGGCAAGAATGGATTGACGAATTGAACGCTGTGGGTTGACGAATTCGCCGAGTCTCTTGTCGCACAGTTCTGGCTAAAAAATATTTTTTAATCCCATGCTGCCTCGTTTCTGGCCCTCGAGGTCTATACGATGCGTCGTGAAAACCGATCAGCAACAGGGCTCACCACCTCCCTTCCTCCATTAGTTTCCGGCAACTGCATATCCGGTATGAACCGTAAATGTTCTTGCTGTGCAATACGTGCTACTTTACACGCAGCAAAATCTGTGCGCATTTCTAAGCTGCTTGTCAGCCGTGATCAACGAAAATCGTTTCACGATCAGTAAATATTCCCACATTGTGTTACGCCGAAACTGTAAAACGTGAAACCTTTCGTAAAACATAGCCTTGAACACTGCAATCATCACATGTGGAGTACAATGACTACAATCCATTTACCGGAAACATGATCTTGCAGTGAATACACGAGACTTGCATTTCTGTTTGTGCTTACTGGTGTCTAGGGGCTTTCACAAATGGATTCTCCATAAGGAGACTGGGGTGTAATTCTGTGGTACTTGAAAATCAACCTCCGCAAACAAAAATATGAAACCGCAATGTCAAGATAACTTGCCGGCATTCCCACCATACTTAATGATATTATTAATGATATACTTGATGATATTATACCGCTTAATCCCTTTTAGGACGGCTGAGACCTTTACCAGTAATACTGTACACCTAGAGTTTAAGTTTGGAGCTGTAGAACTGCAGCTGGTTATAAAATATGTTTAAATGCGAGTACGAGTACGTAAATGCATTGTACATATACTCGTACATCATGTTCCCCAAGGGTGATAACCGGTGCCTGACCGGTTAAATATGGCCCCGACGAATTTGATACTCTGTTCCTTTATAACGGTTAAGCGTCCCATCTAAACCACACTACCGCATTTCTAGACTTCGTCCACAGATACCGTTAACATGAAAGTAAGGCGCAATATCACGCTCCGTCATTAACCATGGACACACCTTCGCAAACATGGATCGACGTCACTCATTGAAGCCATCGCGATACGTGCCACAAATGCGTGATATACACCAAGGCAGCTTGCACGGGTCCCCGGAAAGTCCCACACCGGTTTCTTCGCATGGAGCTAGCCTAGCAGGGCAAGGCGACAATTAAGCGTTCGCAACCTCGGAACTTCACGTTGTTGCCTTCTTTCGAACCTCAGCAGTCCACTTTCAGAACATTCAAGATCTCACAATTGGTTTTTCATGAGCTGTAGAGAGCTGGATGTCACCGTTGCGGATAACCGCGTCCCCAACACAGATCTTGGCCATCCGACACTTCTTTATTTCTAATATTACTCGCGGTGTAAGCGTTGAGAAAAGTGACAGGGCAATGCGTAGTGGTAGTTTTCTGTTGCGAGAGCTACGGATTCTGTCATGGTACAAGTTCTTGCAACGGTTAATGAAACTTTCACCATAAATCAGTTCAGGACAGACCTCGCGTCGTACTCTGGCCGGCAGCCATAGACTTTGATCATGAGCATAGCAACAAGTATGTATCAAATAAACTGTTTCAGCATCCTTTTTTGGCGATCCCGGCAACGCGCGGTTATTTCAAAAATTCAATGAACAGGAGAGTAAGAACTTTATGTCGTAATCTTGCGTATACGCATCACCGATTACTTTAGGTACTGAGAAAGGTCAGGTCGTCGGCCTAGTCCGCATAATTTCGGAAGTAATTAAATCGGCTGCTGCATCAGAGCGGACTTGCTGCGCGGTGGCCATTAGGATTTTGTAACAGTATCGCGAGACTAAATCAAAAACCACACGTTCAAAACTCTGAAGCACCGACCAACTGAAATTACAAGCAGTTAAAAGTTATATATATTTGTAACTTTTAATATACCGTAGGTATCTAGTGGTCCTGGTTAACTACATCTAAATAAGGAACTCGGAGCACGAGTCTCATTAACACCCTTTAAAGCTCTTGTTGCACAGATTACTTTAACGGAGTGGCTATTTTGCCCCAGTGTGTGGGGGGACAATAACTACTGGGCTATTTTGCCCCAGTGGGGCCCGTCTAATAGTTAGTTGGCTATTTAGCCCCATACTGGGGTTTCATAGTCCTTGGCTATTTAGCCCCATTGAGGGCGTCAGAGTAGCCTTCCGGCTATTTAGCCCCATAACACTTTCGAAGGTAACGGAAAAAATGTTATAGGTTGGTACATTGCCGTGGCCAATCCTGGATTTTTTGGTATGCCAGTGCAAATATTCAGTTGTTAACTTCACCAGTGACATCGGATAGAAATACAAACGGGAGTGCGCCGGTAAAACATTATAAACTGCTCGTATCCATCTCTCTCGCGCTGTTCCCGTTGAGAATGTTGTATAATAATGTCACGTCTTGGCACAGATGTTTATTGTGCCACTCTGGCCGGATAGATACTGAGTAATAATGATAATAATGGAAATACTCGTAGTACCACATAAAATGCGTCCTCTACAGGTCAACACAGTCATGCGGGTTGCTACGCGCTAATATGGCGCGTAGCCACTACACTACATCTTCACCCTTAAAATGAAGTGAAAAAGCAGAACATTATGGCAAAATGTCGAAATAATCTTCCTCGACATTGTAGACGGTATTGACCTTTTCCTTCTTCTTGTTGTCCTTCTGCTGGCATGCCCTCTCTATATGGCCTTTCATGCCGCAACCATTGCATCTGGTGTTTTTATACCAGCATTCTTCTGGCGTATGCCGCCAGGATCCACATCTTTTACATTTCCGCCGGGACGGCATCTCTTCTTCACTTCCACTTTCGTCATCATTCTCTTCCTGTCTCTTTTCTCTACTGCTCTTCTCCTCTTTCTTCACTCTTATTTCTCGCTTCTTAATGTTGTTCACCACATTCTCTTCCACATTAGTTTTTCTCACTCTTTCACGCTTGTTTCATATTTGATAGCAATTTGAGGGCGAACGTCTTCAGCTCTTGCAGCATTAGGTAGCGTCTTGTTGCGTCGCTTTTGACGCCTGCCACGAGCACAGCACTTAAATCTTCTCCAGCACTGTTGCCGGAAAGTCGCATAGGATCGTTTTGTCACGTAAACGTGTCGCGAAGTCCACCAGGCTTTTCTTTTTCGTCCTGCCGAAGACTGAAGAACAGCGCCCACTCGGTTATTTGGTTTGTGTACGGGGCGTAGGCCGTTTCCAGCTTCGTGACCAGTTCACCCAGTGTGAAGTCGGACGGCATCTTGGGTTTGCACATCGAAACTAAAAGCTGCAGGGCCTTCGTGTCCAGACTGTTTATTAGCAAGGCACGGTGCTTGTCCGTATGAAGGTCGGTCAGCACAGTATAATTATCATACAAAAACTTCCACGCCTTCCAGTCCATGGTTTCCGGATTGAACTTGGTCAATTGATCGGTTGTGGTCGTCATTTTCGATCTCTTATTATATAGCGCTCGCTTTCCTCTTCTCCTTTCCCGCTTCAGAGTTCAGAGAATACTACACTTCACGCCAATTGTCACGTCTTGGCACAGATGTTTATTGTGCCACTCTGGCCGGATAGATACTGAGTAATAATGATAATAATGGAAATACTCGTAGTACCACATAAAATGCGTCCTCTACAGGTCAACACAGTCATGCGGGTTGCTACGCGCTAATATGGCGCGTAGCCACTACACTACAAATAAACTCCAAGGTCAGATGCAAGAAATGGCAATAAAATGCAACGATTGTTTTGAAGTCGCGGCAACTCACTTACAAAATAATTAGAAAATGCTAAAAAAATGCCATAAAATGCGGGCCCGTTATAAACCCTCAACAGACAAACAAACTGTTTGCTCGGCTGGCGGGAAGTCGAATCATCATCGACGAAACTGACTCTGAGGCGGACCAACTTCAGACAGAAAACGATCGTCTTGTCGATGACATGTCCAAGCTGCAGGACGAGATTTACCGCTTGCGCAACGGATTTCACCTGCTGTATGAGAATCATTAAACTCTCGTCCAGGTGACCCAACAAGGAGGACTATTGGACCAAACGGTTCAACAGAAAGCAGCACAGATCGTGCAACTACAGCAGCAGATCGCTGCCCTCCCGAGCCAGCTCAAGACCGAATCAACGATTTGAGCCCAACTTGTGCAAAACAGCGCCGTTGGGCAACAGAATTTTGTCCTTTGAGTCGGCCTTCAGCCAAGCCAAACAGGTGATTCAGGGCCAACACAACCGGATCATCAAATTGGAGCCCAGCAATGCCGGTCTGGTCAAAGACTACCAGGCGGCCACCCGACGTATTACTGAACTTAACGAGGACCTGGAAAGGCTAAGCACGGAGAACGCCTGCTTAGATGCGAAAAAATTAC